ACATCATGCTGTATTGAAGAAGACTTGAAACTAGAGATTGAGACCATGAACTCATGTTTACAATGTTTACTGAGGTAATAAATCAAGAGAGAAGTAGAGTCATTTTCTCATAGACTTCTATACAATCAGAGGAGTCGCCCCCTTGTGGACACTAGAGAGAATGCAAGTTTAAGACACTTCGGTATTAGCCTCACTCATCAGAACCGGAGGTTGCCGTCTGGATGAGGCATGGGACAAACTAAAACGTAAAAGTCAAATAAATGTTTCCCAAAGATGGTTTCTGCTATTTTAGGCAGTTATTATCACGCTGATGAATGTTAATTTTTTTGATTAGTTTGATCTTAATGAGATATTTGTTGGGTGTAACATCATGATTGTACCATGTGATGTTCTGGTCATTATGCTGCAATCCATTGTACTCTGAAAAAAACAACCATACAGCCATACAAACATCAGATGGCTGGCAGCCATGTTTTCACGAGCAGATGCACCGGGACGCATTAAGATTATAAATCGGGGAATACCGACTTGGAATTATCAACCTTCGACTTGCAATGGATTGCAGCATCAGTCTTTATTATTTTGACCCTCTACTGCACCATGTGATGTTGTATTTCCTCACTGGTGTTGACGGCAGTTGTGTTGATCTCTGCAGGGTTTCATCTTGATCGGAGCGAATCTTCACTTCAGCAAAGGACTGAGAGAAATGATCACAGGGAGCAATCAGACAGAACCAGACACCAACTCTGTCTAAATATATATATATACATATATACACACACGATGTGAATATATAATACTTACAACATACAGTATAACAATATGTGAATATATACGAGAATATATACACACATATATATATCCACACACACATTTATGTGTATAAATATACGCAGGTATTTTAAAATCAAGCGGCCATTGTTTACATCCATGTTTCTTGCCAACAGTCTTCCTCTGCTCCTTGCGCATTGCTGCGTTATCTTTAAGCACCTGTACATCAGTGAAACAGAAGTATTCAGATCCTTTTCTGAAGTAAAAGTACTAATACCACATTGTGAAAATACTCCACTACACGTTAAAGTTCCACATTCAAAACCGTACTAGTAAAAGTATTGTCAGCAAAATGTACTAAAAGTATTCATGATGTGGTAACATGTTACCTGTCTGTGTTTTTCTATTATATATATATATATATATATGATGTTTCGGGATTAATAGTACTGCTGCATTAATGTATGTGTGTACTGCTGTAGATGTTTTTAACTCCTTTATACACTGTTGGGTAGTTTAATCTGCAGCAATGCATCATATTCTAGAAGATAATATGTTTGTGTAGTTGTCCTGTGAGTAAAGGTTCCATTTAGAAAGTGATGAGGACATAAAGGTCTGAGAGTCCTCTCCGAATAAAGTTCAGACTAACAGACTCCAGAGTATTTTCTCAAACACAATAAAAGGTGAGAAAGTATCAGTACAACCATATTGTGGTTCTCTGAGATAACAGCTCACAGTGGAAATGCCGCTCTCTGATGTTTGTATTAACAACAAAGCTAAATAAAAGCAAATAAATCTCCTAATTTGCTTTTTCATACAAGTTATAAGTTAATTACTAAATGAACATCCTGCTGTATTGAAGAAGACTTGAAACTAGAGATTGAGACCATAAACTCATGTTTACAATGTTTACTGAGGTAATAAATCAAGAGAGAAGTAGAGTCATTTTCTCATAGACTTCTATACAACCAGAGGAGTCGCCCCCTGGTGGTGATTAGAGAGAATGCAGGTTTAAGATACTTTCACATTTCACTTTTGCATTTCCTGAAGAGAGTCAGCCTTTTGAATCACTGCAGAGTCAAATTCAAACATTTATACGTTAAATTAATCAATGAACAGCGTCAGGTTTCAATAACGTAATTTATTTGTGTGACAGATTTTATTCTCATCAGGTAAAAACAAAAAACATACAGCAATGAAATCACTTTAAGTGAATGTTACTTCATTTAAAGCCACTACATCAAACAGTTAATTAACACTCGACTATTGTATTAGCAGCTTGTTAATAGTTATTGTAATAGTTGTAATATCAGCTAAAGATCAATTAGTAACATATCATTTATCTGTTATTACTTATATTAATTATTTTCTCTTCTCAAGTTTATTAATCTGTATTAAAGCAGTTATAGTTTCAACTTTAACTAGCTTTTCTAAGTCCATCACTTCGCCTAACTGGGGATAGCTATGCTAAGCTAATTTGTTGAGTTGTCTTTTAGCAGAATGCTCTCTGGTAAACGAGTAATGCAGCGCATATGTCTAAGGCTTTTATTTTGAAAGGTAAGAACAGAAGACCTGTAGCTCTAATCTTAGTTATTATTTTATTGCCTTTACAAGTATGGACACAGTTAAAGCGCTATACTCTTTCTTTGTGCCGCAAATCGAGCCTTCATTTCCCGGGAGATCGCGACGCGCGTCATACTTCATAATGATAAGTTCGAGCAAAATACCTGTCTGTTGTCACTTTAATTAGTTAACAGTTAATTAGCAGCTCAGACACTTGATGTGATAATCAGTTTTTACGAAGATTCACTTTTCAAACTGATAATTAAATAGAATTTATTGTAATTTGAGTGCTGAATAAAATCATGAGTTTGTTTTTATTTCATAAAAAATAAGTGTTTGTTTTTAACTCATCATCTTTTACAGTGTGAGTGACCTCAGACCTTCACCACAGTTCTTTGAATCCGTCTGTTTTAAACTCTTCAGTCAGTCGCCAAAGTTTTCAGCGATGCCGTCATAACCGTGGAAACCGCACTTCCTGCCGGCGACTCTGCAGCCGAAGGTCAGTGCGTCCTGCAGACTTCCACCTGCGGTTGGAGAATGCATTTATTAATTTAATAAATATATGTGTAACGTCTCACCGCGTCGGACGGTGTAACGTCTCACCGTTGGACAGCGTGTAGATGACGGCAGAGTTGAAAGTGTCTCCGGCTCCGAGAGTATCGACGAGAGCTTCAGGAGGAAACGCATCTGAATGAACGACCGAACCATCTGGACCCAAAGCATCCGCTCCTTTTTCTGCCCAGGCACATACCAGGACAGCCCTGAGAGAGGGAGAGACAGGTCAGGGAGGGAGAGACAGGTCAGAGAGGGAGAAAGAAGTCCTAGAAGTTGTAATAATCACTAAAAGTGGAATAAATTGTTGTTTTCTAGCTGTAAGCAGCTGTAATAATGGATATATTGTACTGGCTTTAATTCAGCACTTATTATACATCTGTGGGAAAACGTGTTTTGATTCTTTTTATTTGTCCAACCCTGAAAGTCCTGATCCTCCACTCACCCCTGTTTGACCCGACTGTAGAGTCCTTTCAGAGCGGCTTCAGCCGACAGGAAGCCGAAGTGATGGGCCACGTCTTTACTGACAAACACCTGAAAGAGACAAGAACACCTGAGAGACAGCCCTGAGAGAGAGACAGCTCAGAGACAGAGACAGGCAGGTCAGTTAGACAGCCATGAGAGACAGAGACAGGTCAGAGAGAGAGACAGACAGACAGGTAAGAGAGAGAGAGAGACAGGACAGTATGACAGCCCTGAGAGAGAGAGACAGGTCAGAGAGAGACAGACACAAGAGACGGACCACGTCTCTACTGACCAACACCTGACAGACCGATAGAATCCACCCCGTCACAGACCTCACGTTGTATTTAAGGTAACCGGCGTTAATAAAAACTGTCGTCTCTTAAAGACTCGCACCACGTCACCGTGAGGAAACAGCTGATACAGCGGTTCTCTGGTCTTCTCTATCTCAACGGAGACGGTGATCCTCTGCTGCCGAGGCAACGTGCTGTTAAACATCACGACCTGCTGGATCATCTTCACCTGATCCTCAGCGTTACGGCCCTGAAGGAGTTAAAACAAGAAAACACTGGTACACTGTAATATTCTCTGTGTATTCTGTAACGATATGTTAGTTTGATACATTTATATTTCACACTGTTTTGAAACTTCAACAGGTTAGATTCAGGAGATAGAAGGGTTAGTCTAGTCTGTGTGGTCAGATTAGTCTGGCAGTTTCAGTGTCTCACCTCTAAGTGGATCCACTTGAACTGATGCAGATCGACTTTGGAGAACTCCTCCGCTGTGACATCAGGAAGGTTCCTGACGGACAGAAAGGTCAGAGGTCAGAGTTCATGTTCCTCAATGAAGATAATCCAGAAACACCTTCATCACTCAAGAGGTTACAAAAGTCTCCCAGGCTGATGACGTCACTATGACATCATCAGACTGGGAGATTAATCAGGACCAGTAAAATGTTCTATACAAAAATCATTGGAATTACTTTTTTTAACAAGTACATTTAAATACATCCGAACTTCCTGTTTGACCTACTGTGTTTTAGGGAGGCGTTTCTTCATTACACAAACACTTCCAACAACAATTAGAAAAACAATTTCAAGAATTAAAACTTTTTTAAAGATTTCAAATGACTCTTGATTGATTCATGCGTCTGTCAGGACTTGGGGGGTGAAGACATTTAACAGTTTGGAATGATTTTATTTGTCAGTCACGTTTCAGTCAGGCTGATTAAAGATCTGACTGAATTTTGAGTCATGTTTATGGATATTAAAATATAGTATAAATACTTCTGATCATTAGTTCAGACTGAAAATGTTAAAACGAGTCATCTCTCTAAAGTCCAACAGTCAGCATGAAACACAATAAAGTGAGATTATATTTACATTCACAGACTTAAAGTGTGAAGAGTTCACTTCCAAAATCATCAAAAGACAAACTAATTACTTTCATTATCTACAAAAGACAGGAATTTTGCTGAAAACATTTTTTATAAATTTTTATTTTGCCTTTAATCCAACAAGTATATTTATTAAATTCTATTTGATCATTTTGGAAAGAAACTCCTCACAGGAGGCAGATTAACATCAGCTTTAATTACTGAACATATTTCATCATATTTCAGAGTAAACGGTCGTTTTAAACATCAGAGATATTAAATGAATCAACGACGATGAATTAAACCACCATTAACACCACTGCAGAGACTCAAACCGACGACACTGAACCGACGAGTTAGTGATGAAGCTCAGTGAACGAACAAGAACGCAGATTTAAAAGGAACAGCCCAGGACTGTTATCCTAGCTTAGCATGGATACAGTGCGGATTAATATATATGTATATACATATATATTAACCAATGAACTTTTAACGGTGTTCATAGGTGTACTATTTTACTTTTGACGGAACCTGGCTAGCTGTTTCTCCTCTTTCCAGTCTTTATGCTAAGCTAAGCTACAAAGAGGTCCAGGACTGTTAGCCTAGCTCAGCATGGATACAGTGCGGATAAAAAACAAAATATACACATTAACGAAGAACTTTAAAATGGTGGCGATAGGTGTACTTTTTAACTTTTGACGGAGCTCGACTAGCTTGTTTCTTTCCAGTCTTTATGCTAAGCTAAGCTAACCACATCTTGACGCCAGCCCGAACTGAACTTATAGGCATGAGACCCATCTAAAATGATGTTCCATTAAATGTAGAAAGTGGAGAGGAGGCGTCGATGGATGTTTTAAAAGATATTAAATAATATAAAATATATATATATATATAATTCATTGAGAGTTTAAAACATGTTTTGTTTAAGGCTTTGCATGAGCTTGCAACACCTCCTATAGCATTCTTGCTAACTCCGGCATGATCACATCTCCTACTGTTTTACCGACGTTCATTAACGTGCTCCGTCTCTATCAAACAACCAATAAATAAAAAATAAACAAGGTCAGCTGACCTCCGCTCAATCGGATGGCTGGACCTCAACTTCTCTCTCTGCAGTGGGCCATTACACCAGGATCAGGACCAGGATCGGGACCAGGATCGGGACCAGGATCGGGACCAGGTGGTCATGCTTCTCTCAGGCGGGTCAAACAGCATTCACAAAACACCTCACCACGTTCGTTTTTGTCTGCACGCAGCACCAGATGGGTGGAGCTTCTGATGTAGAGGGGGCGTGGCCTAACAAGACTCACCTGAATGGCTCGTGTCTCTGCTTTTAAATGTTCACGTACACGAGTAGATTGTTGGTCAATGGTGCAGAACTTCATTTGAAAATGTACAACTTTAACAAAATGAGTAGAAACTCAAAAACTACATTCATGTAGCTACCAATAATGTGGCTAACATTAATGCTAGTCACATGACTACATAATTAGATAATTTTTCTATAAACCTGCAGTTGAACAGTATATTCAGCTGTAAACCAGCTGCTGTTCCTGTTGATGTTGGTAAACAATGTAATCTGTTCTCTAAAATGTGCTTATTTTTCATTGAGGTTTTGAAGGTAAATGTGGTGCTCCTGCTGATCGATTGATCTGATTTGATATTGATCTGATAGGAGTGACGACGTGTCTCAACGGTAACAAGATGGCGTTGATAAAGAGGTATTCTGAGAACGCTGTGTGCCGCCGGGCAGTCGTCCGTTGGTCTTACGTGTCGTAGAGCAAGACGGTTCGAGATCCGCTGGACGGACAGACAACACAACACGCAGACGGAGTTTGACCTTCCATCTGCCAAACCACCGCGGAGACATCGACTGCACAGCGCGAGAAGTCGGCCATGATGAAACTGACGGACACAGAGAAGACAGGAAACTACTTCGTATCAAATCTGCCCTCCAAAATAAAACCACTGACGGACAGAAAACTGTCTCCTCATTGGTGGAACAGGAGGGAAGCAGAGCTGTGACTATGATGATGATGTTCCTGAAAAATAAATACAGTTACACACACACACACACACACACACACACACACACACACACACACACA